TGGGGCATATTCTTTCGTGTTCATGGAGAATCGTTTATTTTTCAAGCTCTTGGGTGTTTAACTCCGTTAATTTTGAAAGGTTCTGCAAAATCACCAAAATCTGCAGAGTGGATGTGCTCTGCTCTTTATGAATTGTTCAAAGCATTAAGCGTTCCCATGAATATGACAGATTCACTTGGAATAAGTCATATAATTAATGACCTTAACATAATTGATCCATCAATATTTGATGCAGTGCCAGTGTTTAATTCTACGTTTAAAAGGGCAACTAACACTTATTCAGGTAAAGCAATAGCTACTTTATTGGGATTGCAAGAAGACGAAACATTTACGTTGGATAATTTGGTTAGACTATTTATAACTATAATTGCTTATGATCCTGGATCGTTAAGAGCTGAGCAATTCGTTCATCTTCTGCAATATTTAATTCCACACTTTTTGCATGAATCTTCTTCGGTTAGAACATTAGTGGATGATGGAATGACAGCTTTAACTGAAGTGTTTCTAAAATTCACCAAATCATCTAAACCATTGATTGCAGGAACAGGCTTTTCTGGGAGTGGAATGATATATATAAATCAAGAAGAAGATGTTGATTCAACAGATGATGCTATTAATGACGTTCAACTTATTACTGAAGCAACAACACAAGCTTTTGGAAAGAATTGGAAACAAAACGATCGCATGACGATCAAAAGACAATTCTTAACATTAGTACAAGTTTATCGACAACATAATGGAATGCTTTCAGATAGTTGTCATGATAAAATAGCTCAAATCATTCGTATGATGATCAAGGATTATGCGGCTATTAAAATGCGTGTTTCTACTAATTTTCTCAAAAATTACATTAAAAATGCATTATTATATAATACCACATTTGAAGATGGTCGAAAACCAATCATGGCATTATTACGACAAGTTTCCCATGCATTCCGTCAACATTACAAGCACATTGATTTTTCGGGTTTCATTGATGGATTAGTTTTAATTGTAAATGACAAGGCAGAATTTGCAATTAATGATCCTGTAATGGCGGATTTATTAAAAGAAAAATTTGTATCATTTGGACTACATGTAGTTTTGAAACCTGACTGGGAAGATTCTACAGAGACTATGCAAAATCGTTTATGTAGTAGTTTAATAAATTTATTTGTTGCTATGATGACTTATTCGACACAAGATATGCTATCAGAGCTTGATAAATATCCTCCTTCGCATACATTGATGGCATATATAGTCATTCCCATATGCCTCCAATACAAAGAGGTTGCAATCTTTACACCACTTGCAGCGAGTTTTAATCAGCATGAAAAAAATGCAAGAATTGTTTGGAGTCGTCTTTTAGATTATATAACAAAAGCATTTTATAAAAATAAAGAAATTTGTGAAAATGAAGACGAAAATCAAAACAAGACAACCTCCATGATGGAAACTACAGCTATTTTTATATTGGGTTTTACAGCATTGAAAATTTTAATGGTTCGTGCAAACAAATATGTTACACAATCAAAAGGAATGTGGGTTTATATTGCACAGTTCGTAAGACAAATTTTAGCAACGGTTGGTACATCTCAATCCGGACAATGGTCTGGTGCGTCAACCCCTAGAACTAGTAGCACTAGCATTCACATTATTGCAGAACCCTTAGAAACTAATATGGGGTCCTTGACAGACGATAAACCATATTTGAATTTGAATAATCACACAAAATCTCCTTCGTCCGCAACAGATTTTGTATTATGGACATTTATTGAATTAATTTTATCATATAAACTGCCAATTAATTTGTATTTGCGAACATTTATACATCAAAAACTTCAACATTCAACCATCGGAAAGTCGTCACGACCCCAAACCCCTAATAGCCCTATTATCGCAACAAACAATCGTGAATCAAAATGGAGAAGTTGGGGTGGCCCACCTGTTGGGTTCCAGCAAGCATTATATAGATCTTTGGAAAAAGACTCAAATACTCAAGGGTCTAATAAAGATATAATTGAGCCATCAGGAGGTGGTATTTTGTCTTCAAACAATGGTTCACAAAATGATCTTAATATTATTCCACAATTTAATGCATCTGTTGTACAGACTATCCATAGCTCACACCATAATAGCTTACAAAATTTGGTTAGCGAAACATTAAATTCATATTTAAATGTTCGTGCACTAATGGGATATGGTAATATCAGATTATCAATGCATAATAGTAATAATTTTTCTGAGTTAAGGGCTTGGAGTTATAAACAAGTATTAGAGAAATTAAAGGAGGAAAGAAAATTAGTAATAGCTGCTTATAAAGAAGTATTCAAAGTTTCTGGTTCTGATGGAGTTACATATCACGGAACTGATGTTTAATTATTTTTTGCTTTGTTATTTAGTTTGTTTTAATTGTAATTATAATGTTTGTACTTTTCAATGTTTTTTTTTTTTTTATACATTAGTAAAATTTATTTGGGCGTGAAGCGTATAAACATAATAACTAGTATTCGGCGTATAAATTTATAAAATTAACTCGCTAGTTTTTTTTCTAATACCACTGGAACTGGAGTCATTAATTTGTATATATATAATGTAAATCTAAATATATATTAATTTATTGGTTAAAAAAATAGAATATAGTAGATCATCATTATGACATTAGGATTAGTGTTCCTAGTTGGTAAAAATTTTGCCAGTCGATTAGTTGCCAACTATAGTTGCAACTAGTGTTGCTTGCTGCAAAGGCGCAACTTAATTTTTACAAGATAAGTCATAAATACTATATTATCGATGTCACATTCTATTGCGACAATAGGTTGCAACCCTAGTCGCGCTATAAAAAAGTCGCATTTTATATTTGCAGCAAGCAACACTAGTTGCAACAACATAGCGGGCTTTCTCTATGATTGGCTATTTTTTCGCAATTCATTTTTATGTGGCGTAGCAATTTCGTCCAATCAGAAACAGTGTATCGGTTAATAAAATTATATCATATTATTAAAAAATATATCGATATACTGTAATAATTTTATTATTGATTTATTAATTGATTCAAAGTAATAAAGCGCGAAAATTTTTTTATTTTTAAAAAATTTATTTTATTTACAAAAATATCTTCTTGAACTAATAAATTATAGCTATATATCCCAGCTTTTATATTACAATTTATATATTTGTTAAATTACTCATTGCTCTTTCAAAAAGTAAGTCTACATTACTATCTAAAGGCAAATTTTTGTCACCCATATCTGTATTATCAATGGACGCAGTATTATTCAATTCACTTGTATTTGTAGCTATAGTCATATAATTAAATTTGTTTAGAGTTTTTTGATAACTCTTACGATTTTCTTTAATACTGCTTAGAAGATAATCAATACAATGCTTATATCAACTTCCTAACTTAAATAAAAAACATTCATAGTAATAAGCATACCCATATATTAGAACATAACCTATCTCACAATTATCTACACAATCCTCAAAATCACAATATTTATCTTTTCATGGTAGGTATATTGTATTTCAAGCCATTATTAGTATTTTAACATCAACTTAAGCTTCAAGTGTTGGAAGTATACATACCACTAAAATAGGTTTTCAAAAAAACCCTATTTCATCTCTATTAGAACAATTTGAAATTTTTTATTTTTTTTTATTTTTTTTTTAAAGTAAGGTTTTGCCTTTATCTTTATTTAATAATTTGTATTGAGAATCTACTAGAGGTTTCTTTGGTCAATAAGACCAATGATTACAAATATTTTACAAGAATAAGACTCAGATTATAGATATTTAACTATCTAATTTATCTGCAACCTAAATCTATTAGAGTGGTTAAAACTCATCTAGATTTTATAATTGATAATATTGTTAGTAGATATGCTATCATTTATCCAAGAAATTAACTATATATATACTTTTTTAAATGCTTTCCTAAGGGTGGACAGTTATTGTTTATATGTTGTTGGTCAGGTAAACCACAGTTATAGCTATAGATATATGGTATTTTTATCTATAAGTTATTAGATATGGATGTTGTGTTTTGTCTGGTTCAATTTCTGTTTATATTGATAGATATGTTGTGTTCTTGCTACTATCTTGATAGCTTTGCATAGTATGGTTTCTGGATTGAATCATATATATTCTGAAATAGTTGTAAGAGTAGTTTAATGGTAGTATTTGTTGCTATTTTGTTAGAGTCTATGTATTCTCTAATAGTTTGTATAAGTGTAGTAGGTATGAAATCTTGTAAAGTTATAAATATATTCATGTTGGTTTTGATGTAGTAGTTAAATGATTAACTTGGATAATTAATAAGTTTGTTCTGTAGCTCTTGGTGTTGTGTGTTAGTTATATCAAGCCTAGAGGCTTGCAGAAATTGTTGTATTATATTGATAATGATTGTATTTAGATTGGGTGCGCTTGGACACATGAGCCAATACATTTGACCTTCGTGAAAGTTACATAAAATGCAATTGATGTCTGGAAAGTATTGGAAGTATAGAGTATGTAAGTTTGATAGTATAGATAGTATATTAAATATAAGTTTGATTTTGAAAGTTTTTTCTTGACAGAGTTTAAAATTGGTATAGAAGAATGATTTTTTGTAATTATTATTTAAGTAAAGCCAGGTAGTATTCTAATCAATTTGTGTTGCAAAGGGTATAATATTTTTTATTCGGTGTTGGGAAAACCATAATGCTATTATGTAGCTATTACAGATATTTTTAATAGATCTATGAGTTGGTTGCTCGAATACATAAGTTGTATGTTGTAAATAATAAGATGGATTATAAATATTGTTGTATAGGAATTCAAGATTGGTTGTGTGATTTTAGTTTTTGGCTAAACTATCGACTAGATCATTGAATATATTATTGCTGTGTACTGTGATTTTTTGAAGTTTAATTTTTAACCTATAGGTTTTGATAAGGTTTAGTAATGTATGCCAAATTGGCCAGTAGTTATATAAGTATTGTTTGTTTGGTCTAGATAGTTGTTAAGTGAGTTTGTTAAACTTAGATATTATGAATTGTGAGTCAGTATAGATAGTAATATTACTGTTTCATGGATGATTGCAAGTAGTTTAGCTTTATAAAAAAAGGGCCAGAGTTGAATTGTAGCAAAGTAGTTATGTAATACAATATTGTCAGCTATTTAGACCCAGCCTATACCTATTATACATCACTCAGTAGTGATATCACTAACTGATTCATCTGTGTAAAATATTAGTTGTGTATATGTTGTATTGTTCATTGCTATTTGTTGCAATATTTGTAAAGATTGGTTGATCTTGAAGATTTCAAATACTGCATTGTTGTAGATTGTAATAGTTGATGGTTTTGGTATTGTGGTTTACAAGTATATTTAGATGATGAATAGAGATTGGTATAAGAGTAGTCAAATTTGATTTGCTAATATGTAATTGATATTGAGTTATTATAGCAGTTATATCTTCTAGCTTTTCTAGAATTATGTTATCATTATTGTATAAGATTAATCAAGGTTTAGGTTTAGTCTTATAATAGCCAGTATTAAAAGATAGAGTATTTGTATTTGATAGTTGTAGTTGAGTATTAATTAGTCTGGTTTGTTGATCAGTAATGATTTTATTTTCTAGTATTATAAACTATAGTGGTTTACAATCTGTAGAGATATATTATAATCATGGTGAAATATACAACTAGTCAAGTAGAGATATGTTATCATATAATATAAGTTGTTCAAGATATATAATATTTTTTATGCGTAGTTGTTTTTTGAAAGATAGGTATAATTTGTGTGTATTTAATATTTTTTTAATTGTTGTATAAGGGTACTGAAGTATATGAATTTGTGTAAAGTTGGAATGAATATTTATATTAAGTTAAAGTTGGTTAAGTAGTTGTATGATTTTAAATGTGATAGTATTCTTATTTGGTCCATCAATTAAGAGTTGTGAGTGTTGAAGAATGTTGATAGTTGACTATAAATTATTTTGTAATTGTTGGAGCCTTATGTGTATACTAGTATCTGTAAGGTTTGAGTCATTGATTCTAAGTAAAAAGTTAGAGATATAGTATTGTAGTTAAATATCCCAGATATTTTTAATTCAATAAATATTGTGGTTAAGTATGATGCTATTAGATATTGTAATAGGTAATTTAGCTTTATGTTTAGCTATAGTAAGGTATAAGGATAGTATAGAGTTACAAATAGTTCTTAAAATTAATATATTATGAATATAGTATTCTATAATTAGAATAATCATATTGTTGATAATATAGATAGCTTGTTTGTCTGTTATATTCTTAGTTTTAAGTATATTATTGAGTCCTGATGCCTCTTGTTTAATAAGTTTAATTTGTTTGCTATATTTGAGGATAGCTGTGAACCAGCAATCTAAAAACTTAAATAGAGTATATATGGGTTGTACAGTAATAGTAGTGTTTATAAAATTGATTTGAAGTGTTGAGTTAGTATTTGAAATAAGCATAGATTTTTGTGGGTTTATTTTGATATGAGCTATTGTATAGAAGGATGTAGCTGTATAAATTATTTGTTAAAGTTAGCTTACAGATAAGCTAAGCTATAATATGTTATCCATATAGGCTAAGATAGATATTAATATAGATTTGTTTTTATATTTTGTAGGGTTGAGTTGTGTGAGCCATTAAACTGAAAATGTATATTTTTTGTATTTATGGTATATGTGGTTGATTAACAGGTCATAATAAATATACCCAAGTAAGGGTATTATAGTTTCTTCCTGATCAATACTATCTTTTACTAAATATAATATTGTGAGTTCAAAATTGGTAATAACTTAATTACATCGGTTGTGTAGAAGGTTTTATATAATATTTGTAAGTTGTAAAGGCATATTAAGTCTTTGTAAGGCTTGATAAGAAGGTGTAAATTGACAGAGTCGTATGCTTTACTCATATCTTGTGAGAGTATCTATATTTGTTTTTTGTTACAAATAGTATCTTCTATATGAAATTGTTAAGTATATATATTAGATTGTTTGTTAAGTTGCCTGGAAGTGCAATATAATTGTGTGGGTTAAGTATAGTATATGTTGTGAAAGTTTTGGTTAGTCAATTTGTAAGGATTTTAGTATAAAGTTTTTTAATATATTAGATTAGGCTGATTGGTCTAGTGTTGTT